AGCCAGGACTCCTGGGTTCTATCCCCAGCTCTGGGAGAGGAGTGGAGTCTAGTGGCTCAGAGCAGGGTGGGAGAAGTGAACTGGGTGCTAGGACACCAAGGGTCTACCCCTCACTTGGCCCTACTTCATGCCTCAGTTTCCCCCTCCTTACATCAGCTGCAAACTTCTGGGGGTAGCGGGCGTCTGTCTCCAGAATGTCCATGGTGTGGGGCCGGGGCTCCGGGACGCCCCCTGGCTGCTGCTCCCAATTTCAGGCACCCTCCTGGACTTTGATCTCCTGTGGATTCAACAGAGCCACAAATGGGTGTGGGGGGGAATTGGTCCCTCCCACCCCATCCCCATCCAGCACCAACTGGTAACAGGGAGGCAGCGGCAGGGGGAAAAGGAACTGGTATGTGTGGATGAGGGAGTGAGAGGAGTGGGGCGCAGGGGTCAGAGCAAGGGGGGCAGGGAGCCAGGACTCCTGGGTTCTCTCCCCAGCTCTGGAAGGGGAGTGGGGGCTAGTGATTAGATCAGGGAGGGCTGGGAACCAGGACTCCTGGGTTCTCTCCCCGGCTCTGGGAGGGAGTGGGGTCTAGTGCGTGGGGGATTGGCTAAATCTCTCTCACCGTCCTTTGGCTGCCAGTTGGCCCTGCCACCTGCGTCCTTCCCTGGTCTCACCTGCTGCCTCTACACCTGGGCGGCTCCCTGGGGCCTCAGCTCTGGAAAGGGGGAGGGACCCACATCCTGTATCCACAGCCCTCTCCCCCTCCCCCAGCCTGGGGGGGTCTGGATAGAGCCGGGGGGGGCTGGGCACCAGGACGCCTGCATTATACCGGGAGCCCTCGCCCGGCCCTGCGATGCAGCCCCTCTGGGGTGGGGCGCAGGGGCTGGTTTATTCGCTCCTCTATATAGCATCCCCCATTGACATAAGCACAACAGGGAGGGGGCATTGGGGCAGCGACCCCCAACTACCACCCCACTAAAGCCCCACAGGGAGGGGACGTTCCACCCCACCCCCCAAACCTTGGATCTGTCCTGGGTAGCGTCCCGGGCTCGGCATTTGGGTCAGAGGCTCGATGTCCCTCTTGGCAGGCGGTCGGCCAGTGGTCAGGTTCAGGGGTGGCCGAGTCTCCTTGGGGGATGGTGGCGGATGATCCAACGGGCCCAGGGGTCCCAGAGGAAATCCACGGTGAGGGGGGGGCAGATGCCCGATCCCTGTCTGTGCCGCACAGCCCGTGCTGCGCCCCCAGAGGAAGACCCGGCAGGGAAAGAAATAGACCCGCTGTCCCAAATCCGCTCTGGGCCGGGTTTGCCCCCAGCCTGTTTGCTGCCCTCGTCTTCCCCTCCTGCCCATGCTGCTGCGGCCGGGGGGGACGGGAACCGCGCGGTGTCCCCTCCTCTGTCTTGCAGGGCCCTGGCTGAGCAGTGGGAGCTGGTAACGGCCACCAGGCCCGGGGACCGTGCCAGGCCAGGGCCCCCGCCGGGCAGGTCACAGTCAGTCCAGCAACTAAGGGGCAGCGTCTGGTTGCAAAGGTCCTTGCCTGGGCTGGTGGTAACACCCCACGCGACCGTTTCCTCGCTTCTCCTGTGAACTTTTGATGCCAAAACTAGGAACCTAGGACTTGGCAGAGCAGCTAAGACCACTCACCCGCGCCCCCCAGGACCCTCTCTCGGGCACCGGCCGGTACCAGCCGCTTCAGAGCCGGATCCACGACACCTCGAGATCCCCTGTCCCCGGGGCGGTCCTTGGGCTCTGCAGCAGGAGGGTTTGGTGTTCGCTGGTTTATGGTTCATGATTCGGACTTTTTCCTAGATTCCCCGGCCAGCGGGGACCGACCAGTGTGCTCGGGTCCGGTCTCCTGGATAAGCCAGGCCGGGGACGGCCCTGACCGAATCCCTGGTTGAACCGGAGCAGATCTTCAAGAAAAACAGCCCATCCGCAGCTGAAAGTGGCCATGGCTGGAGAACCCACCGTGACCCGTGCGAGCTCGTCCCAACGGTTCACGACCCTCCCTGGGCAAAAAATTTGCCTTATTTCCAGCGTGATTTTGTCCAGTTTCAGCTTCCAGCCTCTGCAGGGTGTTAGACGTTTCTCTGCGAGCTGGGGCTGGGGGCGCTTTCGCTCCCTGCAGCGGGCTCAGGGCTGGGGGGGCTCTCGCTGCCCGCTGTGCCCCAGAGCCGTGGCAGGGGGACAGAGCTGCTCCGGTCTTGGGGGGGCAGAAAGGGGCAAACGGGTTGTGGGGTAGCAGGGGGGAAGGATGTGGGGACCCTGCGCGGAAGAGGGACAGGGGCCGTGGGGAAAGGGCTGGGGTGTCCTCTGGCACCTCAATCTTTTATTACCCATCCAAACATACAACCACAATCACACTCCATTTCACTTCACCTATTTTCTATCCCAGGGGTGGCCAACCTGGGGCTCTTCAGAGGTTAATAGGCGGCTCCTTGTCTAGGCACCGACTCCGGGGCTGGAGCGACAGGCGCCAACTTTCCAACGTCCCAGGGGCAGGGGTTGGGCTCACTGTTCAACCCCCCAGCTCTGCCACGGGCCCTGCCCCCTCTCCATCCCTTCCCACCTCCTCCCCTGAGCCTGCCATGCCCTTGCTCCCTGCCCAGAGCCAGGGCCGAAGGGGGCAGGGGGGGAGCCGGTACAAATTACCGGGGTCCGGCGGTCCAGAAGGGGGCCCGGTTTCCCTGGCTGTTTAGCCGATCCGCCCTTACTGGGGGGACAGAAAAAAATTTTCAGCGGAGTCCGAACCCACTCTTGGTGGCCAGAGCCTCCTGCACACCACGAAACAGCTGATGGGGAGGTGCGGGGAGGTGTTGATCAGCGGGGCTGCCGGTGGGCAGGAGGTGCTGGGAGCCGGGGGGGAGCTGATGGGGGGGCTGCTGACGTATTACTGGGGCTCTTTGGTAAATTCTGGCTCCTTCTCAGGCTCAGGTCGCCCCCCCCGGTCTCTGACATCTACTTCATCCTTTCCCATAACCCTTCTAAAGCCCCTGGGGCACGACTGGCTCCCCCAGACCCAGTCATACCACTTGTTACATGGGAAAAGGAAACAAGCAAGATAAAAACACAGGCGTGGGGGTAACCTGATCTCATTCCTGCCTTCGGGAAAACAGTCGCAACGGCCGCTGTCCTGCCTGGGAATCTTATCACTTCAGAACAGACTTTTTGTCCTCGACAATTAACACAGGCCGTTTTCCCTCCCCCTTTCCCCGAACAGAAACGTATTTGGTGTTACTTTAATCCAGCCATGGCAGGTTTCCTACCCCTCTTTCAGGCTTCGCCATGATCACACGTTCGGAGGAAAACGGAGGTTGAAGATTTGCTTCAATATTTATTTTCATATCTGTCAGGGGATGTCGGGAAGCCTCAAGGAGTCGCTGAGCCTACTGCCAACCGTCCCATTACCCGGATCCCGACCACCGCCCCGAGCCGCAGAGGCCGTCGAGAAGGAGAGGGAAAAGCCGTCCTAACACCCCTCCGCCAGAGACCAGCCGGGCTATCGCTCGGCACAACCCACCGCACCCGCAGTTCAGCCACAGGGACCCGCGACGCTTCCCCGGCTCCGCTCCGGGCCGCGGAAGCAAAACGGGGCCTTTTGCCGGCTGCATTTTCACGTCGGTGGCAAGTTCGTTCTGGCCCCTGCCGCTGCCCAAAGCGCCAGCAGCCAGCCGGGCCTCACCGGCACCGAATCCCCCGAGATCTGGGGCCGCGCTTCTTGCCGCAGAGATCTCTGGGCCGGGCAGAGACAAGGGCGCACGGCCCAGCGAGGCAGCGAGTAGATCGGATCCTCTTTAAGACGTTGAGGGAGGGGTGAAGGGGAGATACTGACTCGATGGAGCTAAACCTCCAGTGCCCCCCACGAAAGAGCTTTCAATAAGCTCCAGTACTGATGTAATGACCCCCCCCCCGAGGTGAGGCTGAAGCACACAGTAATTCCAGGGTTGTGGGATCTGGTGGGGGGGCAGGGGGGCATTGTGGTTTCCGAGTTTCCCCTGGGGAATGAGTGGGAGGGGGGCCGGCTCTAGGTCCTGTGGGGGGGGAGGGGTGCATGGACAGGGGATGAAGGGGGGGGGGGGTGAGGCTCAGAGCCAATGTGGCCCCATGACAGGGGAGGGGCACACGGGGCGGGGTTTGAAAGGTTGCCAACTTTCTATTGGCACAAAACCCAACACCCTAGTCCCACCCCTTTCCTGAGGCCCCGCCCCTGCCTGGCCCCTTTCCTGGGGCCCCACCCATTCCTGGTCTCTTCTCTGAGGCCCTGCCCCACTCACTCCATCCCGCCTCCCTCCATTGCTCGCTCCCCCCCCCACTCACTGTCAGTGGGCTGGGGCAGGGATGTGCGGGGGGGGGGAAGTGAGTGCAGGCTCCCAGGTGCGGCCAGAAATGAGGGGCTCCGGGTGCGGGTGGGCAGGTGGGGTGCAGGCTCTGGGCAGGTGTTTGAGGCTCCCCACTTGCCTGGGCTCCGCGCAGCTCCCAGAAGCAGCCGGCACGTCCGGCCCCTAATCACGCCTGGCGCCCCAGAATCACACCCCCTTCAGGCCTCAAACCTGTCACCCCCCAACCACCCACCTCCAGCTCCCTGAGCCGCCAGGCTGCTGCAACCGGCCACTAGAGGGCGCCGTCACACAAGGTTTGCCAAAGGCTTCAACCACCATTCATGAGAGGGCTGGGAGCCAGGACACCTGGGTTCTCTCCCCGGCTCTGAGAGGGGAGTGGGGTCTAGTGGTTAGAGTGGGGGCGGCTGGTAGCCAGGACTCCTGGGTTCTCTCCTTGGCTCTGAGAGGGGAGTGGGGTCCAGTGGTTAGAGTGTGTGTGTGGGGGGGGGGCTGGTAGCCAGGACTCCTGGGTTCTCTCTCTGGCTCTGAGAGGGGAGTAGGGTCTAGTGGTTAGAGCAGGGGGGCTGGGAGCCAGGACACCTGGGTTCTCTCCCCGGCTCTGAGAGGGGAGTAGGGTCTAGTGGTTAGAGTGGGGGGGGGCTGGTAGCCAGGATGCCTGGGTTCTCTCTCTGGCTCTGGGAGGGGAGTGGGGTCTGGTGGTTAGACCAGGGGAGGGCTGGGAGCCAGGACGCCTGGGTTCTCTCCCCAGCTCTGGGGGGATGGGGTCCGGCTTTGGGTCTGTAGAGGAAGGGCAGGTCACAGGCCTCAACATCCCAATCAACAGCTGGGGACACGTTGGGCCAATAAAAGCTTCCCCCCCCCCTTGTCTCTCCAATCTCCCAGCCCCCCCCGCCCACACCAGACAACACATGTCATCAAATAAGCTGTAATTGGGCCTGCTGGCAAATGAGCAGGGTCAAAGGTCAAGACAATTACTTCCAGGTCATTGGTTGGGCAGGTTGGCGCGCCTAGGTCATGGGGTCGTAGGTCAAGGAACCAGCTCCCAGGGTGGTTGGTTCTCGTTGGCCCAGGGGTCAGAGGTCAACAGGGTCATTGGCAGGTTGACGCTGATGGGGTCAGAGGTCACAGGTGCACCTGCCGGCTGCCCCCTGGGGTCAGAGGTCGTGGGCGCCCGGCTCAGCTCTCCTTCCAGCGGGGGCTGGCGCGGGGGGCCCAGGCTGCGATCAGCCCCTGGGCCGCGTAGTAGGTGCCCATGACGATGAGCCGGGCCTGGGGCACCGGGGCGCAGAAGTGGTCCCTGGCCAGGACCAGGTCGGAGGCCATGAAGAGCAGGGAGCTGGTGGCCATGGTCAGGTGGGACGGAGCCCGGGCCAGGGCCCGCCAGGCCACGGCCGCCAGCAGCGCCCCGTAGCCCCCCACGGCCGGCACGTAGGGGCCCCCCAGGCAGGGCCACAGCGTCGCGTAGGCCCCCGCCCAGGCCAGCGCCAGCAGCAGCAGGACCCAGGGGCGGACGGGACGCAGGCCCAGGGCCCAGATGTAGCAGACGTGAGCCAGAGCGAAGGCCACCATGCCTGTGGGGGAGGGGGGGTGTCAGAGAGCCGTGCCCCTCACTCCCGACCCGCAGCCCCCTGCTAGCCCAGTCCTGGGCTGCCTCCTCCCCTCGCTCCCCCCGACCTGTGCCCCTCACTCCCGACCCGCAGCCCCCTCCCTGGGCTCCCTCCTCCCCTCCCCCACCTGTGCTCCTCACTCCCGACCTGCAGCCCCCACTAGCCCAGCCCTTGGCCTCCCCCCAGGCCTGCCT